TCTCCCATGCATCCCCAACTCCCTTGCCAGTGTGGCAGTATGGAAAGCAGCAAAGGCCTTGGCTCTGTGTGAGCTCTGCTCAGCAATAACAAAAACATCTCTGCATTATCAACTCTGTGTTCTGCACAAAACCCAAACATAGCCTCATACTAGCCTCTGTGAAGAAAGTGAACTCTACTTCAGCTCAAACCAGCACAAATAGCCAGATGAGAAAGGCCAACAAACAGGTTTTGGCATTGTCAGGGTTTTTTTTGCAAGATAGGCAAATTCTCTATAGGAACCACTTTTTAGTGAAGTTTCTTCAGTCACAGTGTTGAATGAATGGGAATAGTGTCACAATCTCACTTCAGCTATCTAGAGGTGGTTTTTTCTGTTGGTGTTAGGTATTTTGCTCTTTTTCTCATAAAATTGATTGTTGCTATGACTGAATAGCATATAATGCTGGAATATCGCAGTGAAGATTAGAGCAAGCGTGTTCAGCAAGCTGAAAAATGCTCATAATCACAGAGGAGGTTCAGGTATATTGTAAGAAACATAAAAGTAGCTGTGTGCACTGTGCTAAACTGCTTCTGATTTGTATTAGTATGTGTTAGAGAACATCCAGTTTAAGATGCTTCCAGGTGCTATGAAGAAGAGCAAGGCAGGTCTAGTCCCACACAGACCTGGAGCCTCAATGTTGAGTTTTACAGAAAATTTCAAGGCAAAGTGGGCTGCATTCATGTACTTGTACAGCAGAAAAATCTCATGTCTGTTATAGCACTCCATGCTGTATGTGCCAGGATTGTCAAATGTGATGTTCTGAGCTGCAGTATTCGTTCTTAGGGGAGAAAACCTGAGCCGTGGCTCTGGAACAAGACCAGAAAATTAGCCTTTGTTTTCCTAATACCTTGTTGATAAAACTCACATGTCCTGTTGTGGTTCGGACACCATCTTTGATTCAGACAGCAAAATGATGAATAAGAGAAAATTCTGATCTGTTAATACACTCTGGCATTTCAGGTGTTTTTGTTGGTCAGTATTGTTGCTGTTCAAGCTGCAGTCCAAATCTTTAATAAGGAACTTATAAACCTGAATGATGAGGTCTTTGAATTCAAGGAAGTCACCTGCCTTTTTATCTCAAAGGTAGAGCTGTATGTTCCACTAACCAAAGAATTTGTCTCTGAGACAAGCTAAGTTGCAGGTGCAAGTATCTGCTTCTGAAAATAAGACACCTGCTTTTAGAGAGATTTCAGCCCATCAGTGAGAGGTTTCTAGAGGTTGCAATGTGTCGTTCTGTAGGATTAGATGCTTTGGAATATGTACACATAAAGAGAAGATTTTAAATTACTATTTCTTGTTCCTTTTTAAAGGGCTGTGTTACATGTGACAGCAAGGAAGCAAGTTGTGAGGCTGCAGTGGCTGTTGACAATATGGAAAAGAAGGGAAAACTGCCTCCACTCCTGCAACACTGAAGGCATCAGCACCTGTGTCAGTAAAACTGCTTCATGTAATTCCCATTCTCTTTTCCTTTGGCTTCACTTCATACTAGCAGTGAATCTGTGGCCATCTCTTGCCAACATGAGCTGTCACACATATGAAACTAAATCTTCCTTCCAACTAAACCCCTCCATTCCTGGTATGACTCTGAAGACAATCTTTCACTGGGAGGCTGTTTCACTTTCTGACCTCACAGACTTGACATAGGATGGGTTGTGTTTCTAACTTCTTTTTTTGGCCTTGGCAAGTGAGGGTTGGAAAAGATGCAGTGGTTACGAACCTACCGTGGTGAACCTAACTGATCAGACCATGTTTACTCTCCAGGTAAGGTGTGTGTATTGAAACCAAGCCACAGTAGAGTAGTCTTCATTTTTCTTTGGTATTTAAAGGTCTGAACTGAAGAGCCCAATAATCCAGGGCTCTGAAATCACTGTACCTGGTTTGAGAATCCAGTAGGCTTTTTAAACAGCAGCTGAAACGGGCCAGGTTATTCTGCATCAAATGCCTTTTACCAGCTGGTGCCCATCAGAAAAAAATAAGTGAAAAGAAGCAAATCCTTTCCCGATGGTTTTTTTTTTTTTTTTTGTGATTAGTGTTTTGGAACCAGGTTGTTTTACACCTTTTGTTTTTAAAGCTGTGTTTGTCAAGACAGATGTTTAAAATTAATTGAGGGTAACTGGTTTGCAAATCCACTAGAGATCAAATTACATCCAGCAATCAAAAAAACCCAGAAATACCAATCTAGTAGTTATTTCCTTCCACACAATCTGCTTTTTAAAAAATAGACACATGGAAAGTCTTCTCTATCAAGGCAAGTAGTATCAATTAAAGTAGTTATGTGCAGTGTTTTATCTTATATTGCTGGTGCTCTGGAAGGTGGGTTTGCTTCTTAATGTTTTTGTTGTTGATTTAGAGGAGTTGATGAGTTGAATCCAGATGTAGAAAGTAGGAAATTTTAAGCAGTTTCTCTGTTTTGTTTTTGTTGTGGTGATGCCAAAACCAAAAAGAGTCTGAGGTTCATTTCTTATGCTTTTGTGAAAAATCACATGTGGAGTTGGCTCCACATGTGAACATCAAACCACGTATTTGTTATTTCTTAGCGCTGTTGACCTCCTGTACAGGATTCAGCCTCTTTCTTTATAATGGACTTTCTGGCTATTGAAAACTGTTGAAATCCATGGATGAAAAAGGAGTTTGTGCATAAGGTTTGTTGTTCAGAAAGTGGTAACTACTTTCAGTATGTAAAAGGACTTGTTCTCATGAATGTCTCAAAGAGTTCTTCAAACAGGACACACTTGACTAAAATGTATGGGATTTTGTCTGATTTCCCCATTGTTTATCAAAAGCTGGATGTAATCAGATTTTCTTTGTGATGTTATTAATCACCTTAGCCTTCTCAACGGAGTTATAAAATGTAACACGTTATGTAACTTTTTGTTCTGTGTAATTCTTCCATCTCTGCTGTGTGAAGCAGAGAAGTTTCACTTCTTGTTACTTGCAAGCCTGAAGTTGTTAAGTTAAAAATAGTGTGACCTGCAGATCATTGAAAGAAAACTGTGTTTATCTAAAGGTTTGTGTTAATTTCAAAAATCAATCCAGTGACAATCTTTCTCATTAAATTTTATTTCAAAGAAAGCTATTTTTACAGAATCTGAAGTTTTCAAAGCTAATTTGACTCAGGCAGTGTTTGACTCAGGTTTTTTAGTATGTTTGCCTGCTCTGTTTATACCTGTTGGTTTCTATTTGTTCTTAAGCTGCATTTCTTTGTCTTTCAGTTTTTTTGGCTTGAACTTATTTTCTTGCTGTGTTGCAAATCAGCAGAGGTCCACACATCCTCAGCACTGCTCGTGTTCATATTTCAAACACCTCTTAAAATAAGAGACTTCAATAGGTGTTTACATATAGCAGGCTATGTATTCACATAGGAAAATGTGGGCAATATCTTAAACCTTTCCTAATGTTTTTACAGCATTTTCCAAATATGATCTTCTGCTTTATAACTACACTGCCTAAAATATTTGCTGTAAAGCATGTAATAAGATGCATTGTGTATAGGTTCTTTTACTGATTTGAAAGCTTCTTAATTAACTTACCTGTCAAAGTAGACGTGCACTAGAATCCATTCTAGTTAGCTGGTTTAAATTAAAATGATTGCTTTAGTGTATTTTGAGACTTAGTGGAATGGATTAATTCGAATACTGCAGGTAAGGGCAGCTGGACAAGCGTAAGCCAGAAGGAAAGTTTGGATAACAGTCAACTCTTTTGTGTACATTCTTTTCACTGTTTATTTCCTGAGTATGAAAATGGGATGATTGGCAGTGTCTTAGCAGGCAGACATGTCATCCCTGTTGTAAAACAGTGGGACATAGTTTAGTAGAATGGTAAAATGTTCCCAACACTTGAATAGTGCTTTTCATCCATAGGTCTGTACACATGTCAAAAAGATGACTTTTATTATCCCAGTTTTATAAAAAGAGGCAGAGACACAAAGGGCTTGCACAGGTGCATACCCCCAGTTCATGCAAAATCCAGGAGTAAACTTGGAGATCTCCTGCACTGTCCTTGCTACAAGTGGTCAAGGTTATGACCTGTGCGTCGAAACTTGATCGTATGAACCTGTTTGCTGCCTGGAGGTGTCAGCCCTTCTTGTGCCACCTACGACTATGAGTTTGTGCCCAGTAGAACCATTGAGCACAGAAAGCCCAGACAGTTTTTGAAGTGCTGTGGATACCATATACCCTCTGGTCATATGCACGTGCCTAGGAGTTTGAATTCCAAGTCTGCAGGATCCCTTCTCTGGGGCTACATTTGTCCTGGGTTATGGGAGAAATTATGGTGTGGGAGAAAAATATAAGAGGAATACAGAGGGGAATCAGTGCCCTGTGTGATGATGAGACAATTATTTGCCCAAAAAATGCAGATAATCTTGGCTGCAAAACCAGGCTTAGGATTAGAAAGAGAAAGCTTCCCAAGCTGTTCTTTAACCCTACTAGAACAGCATCTTGCAATGAAATGCCTTATCAAGCCTTTGACCTCGTTTCCGTAAGTTTGCAGGAACTGATAGTTTTTACTTCAGCTTACACTATTCTTTCAGTGTCTGTAGTGTGCTGGAGTAGTCAAAGTGAGATGCAGTTCTGATCTGAAAGACCAATGGAGTAAGTGTTGCAGACAGATTTGCACCTGCTGTTTTACGTGTGTGACTGTTTTGTCTGGCAAAGTGTTGCAGTTTAGACCTGCTTGGAAGATCACTTTTTTGGTGATCAAAGGGAAAACATGCAAGTACAGTACTGATATAGTTCCTACCCCCCGTGGGGGTGTCAGCAGTTTGGAAGCCCTTGGTGGATTTCGCTGGCAACTTTTTGTTGTCGTTGTATTCATAAATACAGAATTATGTCTTTACAAGATGAGTTGATGTGCAAATACTTTCATGGCATTGCTGTACACATGAGAAACCCTCATGTATTTTCACAGTGCAGTAAATATTTGCTGAATGAGTAATGTATTGGTAAGTTTATCTTCCAGCTGAATTGAGTTTTAAATCACAATCGAATTAATTTTTGCATCAGTTGGGAGGAATATTTCATTGAAATAATATTCAGCTGTGGTTGAATTGACAGTTGTGATTTTAACTGTACACTTCAAAGGAGCATCTTATTTTATAAATAAAACAAATGTGCTGCAAAGAACTGTTTCAAATGTGTGTTTGCTTTTGTTCTTGGTAATGTCTAGAAAATACTTTTAAGGAAATACTCATTACATTTTTCTGATGTTCTGAGGTTGAGGTAGTGAAAATGGTCGTGCGGTGGCCAATGACGCTGTTCTCTTGAGAGGTTTTGTGGTTGGTTGGGTTTTTTCAGTCTCACTCTACCTTGACCACTTCAGGACATGTTCCTTCCTTTCTATTTACATCCCAAAAGAAGGGCAAGCACTTTTCCAAAAATGTTTGATTATGTTTGTATGTGTAATCTATTGGGGTTTGGCATGCAGGATTTATAGCTCCTGTCTGTGCCTTTACTCTCTTGTGTAGATGGTTAGTGAAGTATTTAACACTTGTAATATTGTTCCATTATTATTCATTCTGATTTCATTTATTTTGATTTATGCCTGCAATTTTTGAAAATAAATACTTCGTTTTTCCTCGTCTTTGTAGGCTCCACACTTCTCCCTGTCTATGAAATAAATCTCTCTTAGTTGTTTATTCATTTAGATAAATCTGAAGTCTTTTCTTAAAAATTTTCCTTGGCTGAGGTAGCAGAAAATGAGTAGTAATGCCCAGACAGGCATTGACTTGCTCCGTTGTGTGAGAGAATGTTCAAATAGCTGCACAGTGCATCCAGCTGCTCTGACTTTGAGGACATTTGTCTCTGTTACAGCTGCCATCATCTGTCTTGTAATTTACGTGAAGCGAGCAAGCCTTGTGGAGCTGGAGGCTTTGTTTGAGCAGCAGATTCAGACACTGCTGAGGTCAGTGTAGCCTGTGTGTCACTGTTCGGTGGCATTCACTTCAAGCTTGCTGTGAGTCTTGATTAAATTAGATTAGTGTGAGGTTTATGCAAAGCATGTATTCAGCAAGGTAGGGCTTCTGTCCTGGTTTACCCCCAGCAGAGCCAAGAACCAGCAGCCACTCACTCACTCCCCCACCAACGGGATGGGGGAGCGAAACAGAAGGGTAAAAGCTACAAAAACTCATGGGTTGAGATAAAGGCAGTTGAATAGAGAAAGCAAAAGCTGCACACACAAGCAAAGCAAAACAAGGAATTAATTCACTGCTTCCCACAGACAGGAGGTGTTCAGCATCTCCAGGAGAGCAGGGCCCATCACGCGTAACGGTTCCTTGGGAAGACAAACACCATCACTCCAGATGTCCCTCCTTCCTCCTTCTTCCTCCCACCTTATACACTGAGCATGATGTGCTATGGTATGGAATATCCCTTGGGTCAGTTTGGGTCACCTGTCCCAGCTGTGTCTCCTCCCA